TGTGGCTTTTACTTTCCCTATTAAACTGTCTTTATCTCAACCCATGAGTTTTCTTTCACCCTTGTGATTCTCTCCCAGTCCTGCTGGTGGGGAGCAGGTGAGTGCCTGTGGGGCTGGGTGTCTGCCCGGGGTTAAACCACGGCACACAGCCAAGGTAACTGAGTTAAGAGGAGTTCAAACTGCAGTAAGCCTTTATAAGGATTTTACAAAAGTAAATCTATTTTCCTTGGTCAACAGAGTTCCAGAAAGTATACACACATCCACTCTGACCTTGTCTTGGCCTTTATGTCATTCCAGGAACATTTTATGCAGACGCAGCAAAATATTGGAAAAACTTTTGTTTACCAAACTCGACCCCACAATGCTAACTGAAATAAGATATCAAAATAAAACATACCCGACTTCACTCTGTCAACGATTTCTCTGTTACCCACTCATTGCACATTTGAAAAGTTTATTCACACTGCATATTTATCAGTGTGCTTCATTTCTCAAATGAATACTTGAAGCATTAGGGATTCCTTTTTTTCTTCTTCTCCCAAGAAGCCATTGACTTCAAACTTCCATGAAGACAAGCAATCTAAAACTTATATATTGCAAACTTCAATTTAGTTCTGTGTCAAAAGGAAGACATTTTATGATAGAACACTGAATCCTCTGAGCTGATCAAGTTATTATCTTGTTATTTTTGCCTAAGGAGCTGAGAGAAATATGTGAATTTCAGGTGTCTAATTTAACATCTAACTGAAATCGTTCTGAGAGCTCTCTGGGAATAGAATCCTGCTCTATTAGAAAACTGCCAGTTTGCTTAAGATTGCTTCTGTGATTTACTCTCTGAAGAAAAAAATCACTTTCATTTACAGTTCCAGCATGTCCAAATTAAAGGAGGGAAAGAATGTAATATTCATATTAATAACTGAAATATTTTGCTAGAGGTTGTTTTACAAAATAGTATTGTAAATAAAATACCTTATATTGACATTTTCAAAAGTCTATTAATAATTGGCAACTCAATTCTTTTATTAATCTGTGTGGAGCTACATTTAGCTGAACAGCTTTTCTCTATCCTTCTAAAACGTGTGTTTCTGTGTAATTATGGCACTTTATGATTCACTTGTTCAAATTATGTAAAGCTGGCATGTACACTCACCAGTGATTTCATTGCATGCTCAATGGAAAACTTACTAATTCACTAACAATAAATAAATTTTTAAAAAGTTGGGAGAAGGCATATGATCTCATATAAGCTTAGTATATCCCGTGGTGCCTGGGAGAAAAAAAAAGTTTGTTTGATCTTGGGGCACTGGACTAGAAGTCAATAAATCTTGGCCAATTTTCCACTTCTGCTTCATCATTCTGGACAAGTCATTCAATCTCTGTGTCTTTACTGGCCTCTGAGAAGATATCTCTTCCATCTTCTTTGACTTAGTCAATCCTGTCTTTTAAGTTCCTCTGTGTTCTTGTTGCATTTATGTGTAGCACGTAGCAGAAACAAACCTCAGCAGAGGCATATCAGTAAAATTTTAACCAAAGGAACTCAATGGAAGTTGTATTTTAGGGGATAAATGCTGCCATGCCACAGATTAAGATAAAATGACAGACGTATTAAATACTTTTTTGAATGCTTAAACTACAGACAAATAAAAGAGAAGGGCAGAATTCTTCTTTCCTAATCCCAGCCATACAAAAATTAGGTTTCTAGACTAAGGTAGTCAATTAGCCAAAAATAGCCCAGCCCCAGCTTGTGGATGGAGATATATTACATTTTACAACAAATTCCTACAGCAAGCGGGATTAATCACTTTCTGAAGTTGCTTATCTCTGCCTCTTGGTGACTGGAGGACTAAAACTACATTTAAAGCTGAAGTTAGGTGAGATGAATCTCACTCTGAATGCATATTTATAGCAAGTGGATGGAAAATATGCATCAACTGCACTCGTGTATGCAGAGAGGAAAATAAGAACAAATAAAGATGCGAGGCATTAAGACATAAAAATACTGTGATATCTTTTATGAAGGGATATATTAAGTAGAAATAAAGGAGAAAATAAATTTCTGGGTAGGGGAGGGAAACATTCTGTGACAATGTATTTCAAACATAGAATGAATGCTGGTTCAATTTGCAGTGACCTGTGGGAGGTCATGTATGCTCCACGGTTGATATTGAAATCCTGAAATATATTTATGTGTAAAGGAGGGAAAGAAAGATGAAGCAACACTGGTGGGCAACACAAATAATTTGCTGTGTCATTCACTAAGCCACTTCCTAACACCTTTTGACAGAAAAACATTTTCAGGGAGACAAGTTGTTCTTTAGTAATTATCCAAGTTATAAACTGGGTCTTAGCAGACCTTCTTTTTTAAACTTTCCCTAGCAATATGTTGAGAGATACACAATTTACCCTAAAGTGCCTCACAAGTGTTTCCATAGCATAGACATTTCTCATCCTGCTATTTTTCATACAGAATGGTCTTCCATTCTCTAAGAAAACCAATTAGGCAGCCACATCATGTTGCCCTTCCCTAACAGATTTGTTTTGATGGACAGAGAACAGTCTCATTTTAAAGCAGAGATGTCTCCAGGGAAAATCTTTTTCTCTTTCTAAACTAGTCCTGCCATAAGCAATGCAAGACTTAATTTTCAAGGCAATGACAATTTGAAGCACTGAGGGACTTTAAAATGGACCTGTTCAGTCTTGACGGTTCTAAAAATCAGGTCACAGTTATATTAGCTAAATGAAGGCAAAAATATGTTTATAATTTAGGGGAAAGACTGCCTTCATTTTAAGTAGCCTGGCGCTAACCAAATGGTTGCAAAAATTGTCTTTCTTCTTGAAAAATGCAGCAACTCATAGCCAATGTAATAATACTCAGTTTCTTTCATAACCCAAATTTCCCTCAAATGGAAATGAATTTTGCATGCAGCTGGATCTTTATCTATTTTTCATGAACTATAGTTTAAAGAATCATATGCAGTCCTTTATGAACACTGCAGGCTGCTACAACCCTCCTTCTTCTCTACAGAAGTTACAAAATGAGAAAGCTGTAAAACCTCATTCTAGTTTTTTGGGTGTTATTTTGTGTCCAATGGATATATCTAAAGGCAAAAACCTTGAATTATGTCAACCCTTAGGGAAAAGAATGAGTATTTTTATTCACAGAATGGTAGGTATTAAAGCTTGAAAGGTCATTTTAGACCATCTACTTTTTCTCAAAGCAGACTTGTTCCTTATAGTAAAGAGTTTATTGCAAGGAACTAAACACAACTGAGCCCAGGAAAGGAGGCACCATATGCAGTGCTGTAACACCAAACCTTCCTTGGTCACGCGTCATTTATAAACTTGATTTAAGCCTCACGGGAACATCAATAAGCATATGAAACTATCAAAACTGGCCCACTTTTGCTGGAAGCTAACTTCAGCTCCTACTGCACTGAGCAGGCAGGGGAAAAGAGCAGTGAAGAATTCTCTGCAATAGGAACACCCCCAAAAGTTAATGCTCAGGCTGACTATTTGGATGGGAAGCTTAATGACTTAAAATAAGCCTGTGAGCAATCCACACCTTCTGTTGCAGTTTAAGAACTGAATTTCTGAAGGAAGACAGCAATTCTAAATTAAAGCTTGCACTGACTGTATCTGATTAAAAGGCTCAGAGGCCATAAAGCAAACTTCTCCACACCAGACCCTGACAATGCAGTTTCTCAGCAGCATCTTGCTACTGCTCATTTCCAAGGGACCAGATCTTAATTCTGACCACAAAATATTCTAAAATGTTTTCTTTTTCTTTTAAGTCTCACATTAAAGGGATCATTCACTACCTCCCTGCTGCAGAAAATGGTTCCTATATTAAGCCAATGAGTATGCCATAAGATCATGAGATCACTGGAAAATTAAATGGTCCATCATTCTATGTAAGTTAGGGTTGCTAAATGGCTTAAAAGTGCAAGGGCTTACTTGAATATTCTGTGAGCTACAGAAATTAAATATTAAAAAGCCCACATACCACTTGAAGTATTGAAGCACACACTTTGAAAATATAAGATTATATAGTAGCAGTGTGCAAGATACAATAGAGTGTTTATTTCAATTCTTAACATATTTAAGAATTCATTATTCATTTAAAAATTAATAATATGACTTGTTAACTCACAGCAATTCCACATACTAGATCTATATCCCTCTGTTCTTGAGGAAGTAATGGTAGAAGCTGATAGGAAAAATAAAAATACCCCAAACCCCCAAAATTTGAATGAATACATTTGACCTCGTACCTCTTGGGCTTTGCTGTCTGATGGCTGGGGAACTGGCAAGGCTCTGAACTTTGGCTGAACAGGCTTATCAAAGAAGGGTGTACAGCAAGTCACTGTCTGTTCCACCTCTCCTGGGAGAACTAATGACCCTGCTGAATAAAAAAGAGTCAACATTAACCTTCCACTCTATGCATAAATTAGCTAAATCCTGTTTAGTGCCCAGGCATGGGCAGTAACTTGTTAGTCAGTGTGATGTATTTATTATTGCATAAGCTATCATTAAAACAGATCCACGTAGTCCTGACCTAAAATATCTAGATAGTAATACTGCACTAAGGGAAAATCAAACTTGTCTGAAAACAGACAGGTAGCTCTTCTTTCTTAAGAGTGCTGAATTAAAATCTGGATGCAGATGCTCTTAAACTCAAGAGAGCACCTGGAATTACATTCCTTTCTTTCAGAACAAAGATGGAAGGTCCTCAGCAGAGACATCTGCAGTAGAAATTATAAAACAACTTGTCTGCCACTGATGAGCTGAGCAAACTCATTCATTTCTCTTTAGCTAGAGCTTCACCTGTACATTGGGCATAAAGAATCATTGCAAAGCATCTTAGTATGACTCTAACAGAACATTAAGTAAAAATATCTAGTAGAACTACTAATATTCCCCACTGCAGATGACTCTCTTATCTAAAGTTATTTCACAGCTGTTTGCTTTTCCCTGAGCTTTCCAAAAAGAGGGACCTGAGAGGACTTCCCCATATCTGGGATGGAATGACATGTAACCTTTCCACATAGGCAGGACTTGCTCCACAGTTCAAAAATGAACAGCTTTTCTGAATCACTTTTCTTTTACAAACTTCAGCAAAACATTCATGCCAGGACCAGTGGGTTTGCATTCTGTGACAGATCAGAAGGATATGCTTTAGGTTTAGAAATATCTTCTAACATGAATCAATCTCAGCTCTGCCACAGCACAGATGTGTCCATCATGTCTCAGTAATGTTTTTATGAAAGAACTTAAGGGGACCATATGTCTTGCAATTTAGTCAAAGGATTATGTAAATCTACCTACTATTTTTTTTCAGCTGATACACAAGTTTCTTTACAGTTTTATAGTACATTTACATTTATCTTGTAATCTCAGAATAAATTTTCAAAGCATTGATTAAATGCTACTTAATGGAAGCAACAAGAGAGTACACAGATCCAGGGTGAAATGGCTGAAGTGTCTATTTATCTCCACCTGCATAATTCTACCACAGTAGTGGAGTTATGGACCTCTCATTCCCCTGTGAATCTGCATTTGAAAATAAAGATTTCCTAGTTAGGTCTTTGTAAAAATCCATGATGAAATTCTTCATTTAGTTTTCTTCTGGGAATAGTGTAATATTTAAAAGCCAGCAGGGCTTTGAATTGCAAAGTAGAATGTTCTTTTAAAAAGAGTTGAATTAATTCCCTTGGGTATTCAATTTCTGGATTTTTGTCCCTTGTTTCGTGATTCACATATAAGTGCTTATGTCTATCTCCAGCCATCTAAGTGCTTTCAGTCCTTGTTCTCAGCACAGCATCTATTCTGACTCTGCACCAGTTAGAGGAGAAAACTTTCTGAAAAGGACAGAGTTCCCAGGTATCTAGGCTATGTCTACACATGCTCTGCTTTTTTCATAATTTGGGTCAAAAGAATTTGTATGAATGAAGATGTGAATGCTCATTTAAAGACAATGGTATCTTCCACTATTGTTTCAAACTTGCAACCTAAATCTACACCCTTACTAACGTAAAGGAAGTCTGGGCATCGAGAGGTTTTTATCACCTACTGATATAAACACTGATTATTTCTGCACTAAGAGCTTCTCCCCCTCAGCAGACCAATCTGCAGAGAGAAGATGAGGAGGAAGCACTGTTATGCAACAGCCTGGCAATGGCTCAGAAAGATAACTCTTAAGAATTAGGACAACAGAAGGAAATTTATTTTGGCTTTTAGCAAGAAGTGTTTGTCATACTCAAAATGTCAATTCCACTTTTTAAGGCTTGTTAGTAATGCAAACAATGTTTCAAATTCCTTTCAATCACCCCCTAAGAATGTAATCAACCTTTGTTTGCCAGTAGACATGCCAGAAATGAGCTTTGTCTCTCTCTATCCTGGCTGTGTGACAGCATATGAAAGTCTAATTGGTAAACACTGCTTTCCTTGATAATGTTTAATAAAGAAACCCCTTCAGAGAGAAAAATTAGAGAGTTTTGACAGTAGTCCTTCTCGGTGGGAGCACCCAAAGGAACTCCAGGCCATTTTAAGTTCTAGCCAGTACCTCACAGCTTGTTTAGGCTGCTGCTACAGCACTACTGGATGATGATCCTAATTAAGCTGCTAATTATGTTCTCTGTGGAGGTGATTAATTAGCAACAGGAAAGCCTTGGATACTGCCAACAGCACCATATATAGAGATAACTGAACAGGCAGTGATACCAAAAAAACTGAGAAGACTTTTTGAAATGCACCTCTCATACCATGAAGAATCAACTCCCTGGATGATGTATCTGACAATTTTACTCAAGTCTAGCATACTTTAATGAGAGAATATTTGGAAAGAAAACAATACTCTTTAGTCCCTCCCTAACACATCCCAGAAAATGATTACTAAATCTGTCAACACTGCTGAGTTGGAGTTTTTTGCTTCTTCTGTACCATAGGCATCAATTATGAGTATAGAAAAAAAATAATCTACTGGCACGAGTTTGCTTTTAACTTTCAAGAGTGAGGAAGTTCAAAGTTTTGTCTATAACTTTACTGTAGCCAAACGATGCCCAGCTATATATACACTGACAGCTATATATACACTGACACTGGTTTTACCACTTTCAGACACTACATTTCACAAAAATGCTGTTGATGGGGAGTTGAGAAGAAAGTGATAACAAAAAAGCTTAAAAGCTAAATTTTGCAGTCTCCTCTAATTCTCATGCTTCAGGCTGTTAGTCCCAAAGAGCTGCCTAGTGTGAAATCATCTCAAGGCAGTGTTAAATGGATTGCAGAGATTGGAGAAGAAAAACAAGAAAGGGATTCACCAGCTGGGAGGGAGCCCCATACTTTAAAAAATCCACCTCATTTAACCCTAAATCCTCTTCCTCAACCTGATTTTTCTGGATGCAAGCATAAGCTCAAAATATAAATGGAGAGACACAGATAATGAAAAATAACAGATGTTGATATAATTTGTCTAAAGAATTAGTTAAATAATCAATAGCTATGCTTGGCCTCAGCTTCAAAGTGAGTGAGTCAATCAGGTTGTCCTCAGTCTCTGCGGGGTTACAGACAACTGGGACCTTGAAAAGATAAATTTGCAGTACTTCAATGCTCTCAAGATGGATTAGGATGAGACAATTATATCCTTGCCTATGAAGCCTCACCCACACATTTAATTAGTCCTGTTTTAATTTTCTTTTGTATTTAAACAATAGCACACTCAAGATCTCCGGACATTCTTTAACATATTTGGTACTTTATTCAAATACCTGTTATTACTGAGCTATTCCTCAAGCCCTGCAGCAAGAAATTTCTAACCAGTCCTGGAAAGCCCTGTTGCCAAAACACAGGCACTAGGCAGCATCCATCCATCCCTGGAGAAAGCCTGATCATCTCTGTTGTTGCCTTAAGCTCCTTACAGTTAGAGATTAAATTCAGGGAGAAAGAGCAATTACAGTACACCATGCCCATGCTGTCTCTACAGGATGCATTAAAGCTATGGTTTAGGCCAGCAATTTCACTTTGCCAATCATGGTTTACTGCCAAAGTCCCACAATGCAAAACGTTGCCCCTGTTTCAAGCTTTCAGCTCAGTGCCATCAAACAAAAACAGCTACAATGAATTTGCATACTGGTCAAATCTGTGGGCAGCTTTTCCTACTCGTGAGAAGCAGTCACATTCATTCACACCTTAAAAGACGCTGAACCTCGCAAGATAAATTAGAAAAAAAAAACCCAAAACACAACAAAAAAATTCACTGGAATGGTTCTTCCAGGACACCTGCCAAACAGCACTGGTTAGATGGGATGTTTTAATACCTATTTTCTCTCATGCTTCTCATACTAACAGCTTTGAGCCAGTTGCCCTTAAGTGTGAGTATTTATTGTATTAATGTACAGTTGCTAACTCAGCTAACTGATCTGCCCTTTAAAGCTAAGTGAAGCACAGAGATATTGAACTACTGCCAATAACAAGGAGAGATAAAGGCTTGTTGCAATTACTAGCAAGGTATGATACTTTTTACTGGGTAAAATAAGCTATGGTATTTTTAAGCTTGTTTTGGCAATATGAAGTCTTAAATCAATCATTTGTTCTGACATAAGGGGGCAGCATTTAAGAAGGTCAACAACAGAATATCTCTAACTTGTGTCACAATTTACCTCATTTATAAACTACCTGGAATTCTTCAGAATTAATCTTTCATTAAGGTATTCATTAGTGATATTATTCTAGATTACATTAACATTACAAACAATAGAAGTGACATAATTTTGTATTTTAAAATGCATGTTGTTGCTATGGTTTCTACAGGACTAAGACTTTACCTCTCTTAGTATGAAGCTATCGAATGGATTTTGACATGTAAGACAACTATCAAACCCTAAGTGCTATTTTCTGCACATAGGAGTCAAAAGAAAATTTTTTAGCCTGACTCAACAACTATTTTCACCACAGAAGCCCTGAGCAAGAACCAGGCTGTGGGTTTCCCAGGTATAAATTTGGATGCTGCTCACTTTCCTTGCAGAACGTAGAAGGAACAATTAATTTCTGGCAAGGCAGTGTTTCAATGTTATAAAATACAATCTAAAAGCCTAATATTGTTAGTGAGCATTGTTGATACAGTCTCATTCTTCACTGAGGCAGTCTGCCTCAAATGAAGCATGTTTTACCAGGGCTTCCCATATGTATGTGATTAACATTTATTCTTGGACACACACACATACACAGAAATTACCCAAAAGCTGGAGAGAGGCAAGGTCTGTCCCAGTACTGAATTATAACAGTAATGCACTGAGTTATCCCCAAGCTTAAGCAGAGCTCTATTTCCTCACTGTTCTGCTTGGCATTTTAGTTGGGCTTAATTCTCATCAACCAATTTGTGGCCTGTTTGGAACTAGAGATCTCTAACAATACTTTAATGAAGTAGATGTAGGCATTTGTCCTTTCATTAAGATACAAGTGAAATGTGGGTTTGTGCTTCCACCAGTAAACTCCAGGGTTTTTTAAATAGATGTTACCAGAATTTAAGACATAAACATAGAACAACGTCCTACCAAAGGGAAAAATGGGCACATATCAACACTGCACTCAAAAGAAATCTTTGACATCTGTACCTGATCTGGACTGCTGTTTTACTACCTCCTTTCTGAAAGGCTGGAGAAAGAATATTTGCCATAAATCTGACTTACATTGCTTTATTATTTTCTTGGGAGATACTGGAAGTCTCTAAGCCTTAGAATTCACAGGAATTCAGGACACACAGAAAGGAAAGACTAATCAAAACTTTACTTAGAGTGGAGAGACCAATCAAGTGGCAATAACTAAGAAACCAAGCATCAAAGCCCTGCAGCTTCTGTGACCTCAGGCAAATCCCTTAATCTGTGTAGCTTGGTTTCCTTGTACAGTCGCAGGTATAGATGAAGAAAATGAATTTAAATACTAAAAGGTTGTCAGTTCTGGTTATAATAAAGACCATACAAGGACCTAAAATAGACAAATAACTATAGATATTAGTATTCCATTTACTTTTTGGAGGTGGGAGAGTTAAAATTATTATAGATGTATAGAACAGTTCAACAAACTCAAAATGCTCCTAATTGGAATTTTTAAAGAAGTTCACTGAGAATTCAGAATTAGTCTAATCTATTTTGAGTCCAGGATGGAATTGTTTTAATAGGTAGCGACAGCATTTTCATTAAATGTTTCCACTTTACAGCACTGTCTCTTAGCACCCACATTACTTTACCAAAAAAAAACCCTTTGTAATCAAAGTAATTTCAATACAAAATAGAAATGCATAAATATGGAGAGATGTTGCTAACAAGAAGCGCTCTGCACTTCTAGAAAAGCTTGAAGAAAAAAAACTGTTCACCAGGACAAAGTACAATAAACTTTCCCCTTAATTTATTCTTTCATTACCTCTTAGAGTGGGAAAATTAGTACTTCAGTTTGGGGAACTGGGGCAATGTGGGGAATTTTCTAGCAACAGAAGAACTGAGGAAGATCATCTCTTTTAGGGGAGAAGCAGTTCTTTAATCAATGTTCACACACCTGCATTCAAAGACAGAAAATGATGGTGGATACAAAGGGAGGAACCTACCACTGCATGTCTCTTCATCTGTGTCTACATCTTCCAAGTGTAAGTACTTGTCCACCTGTCATGAACCCAAATTGGAAAATAGATGAAAATCTACCAGTTCCATTCCTTATAGTACAATCTAGAGCAAAGCAAAAATGCATTAAATTGTCTGCTTCATCTTCTCCATTTTCCCCTGCATTTTTCCAAGAAAGCATATGAATTTTCTTTGAAATGTGTAATCCAAAGGAAATACTTCTAGGTACAGTCAAAGATTTACTGCCAAAATTGCCACATATCAAGTTAAGTGATGGAAAGGAAGCTCAATCTGTACAGTAACTTTTTCAGGAACTTAGTGGGAAGATGGAGAAGTAAAATATTTTCATAGGAAAATGATGCATGGTAAGTTACTGTGCAATTTTGCAAGCTCATTTCATATGGCACAAAGAGAGTACATGCTGTAGGCAAACTAGAGCTTGATCCTTCTGTTTTGACACTAATGGTGAATTGATTAGGAAATAAAAAACCTAAGAATTATTACATTTCTAGTATTTCACCTGGGGCTTTGTTCTACTGTTTTCTCAGGCTAATGTCCCTTGAACAATGTAAACTCTTTAAAACATACCAAAAGACAAGACATTTCTCATTTCAGGTATCACTCTCAATAGATGCACAGGGTGAGAATGAAAGGTTTTTCCCAGCCTATCTGCAAATAGTGTTACCATGGAGGATTCACTACAAGCCCTGGGTTTTCTTCTGTGTTTCCATGAAGTAATTAAAGATGCTCTCAGATAATTTTTCCCAACCTAGTTTGAAAACAGTTTCATCAAGACTTACATAACCTTTACACTTTAAAAGTACATGCTCACTAACATTAGAAAAAAACCTGAATTGCTCTCATTCTTCTTTCCCAAAGATGGGAAAGAGATACATCAACAAATTGCAAGTAATTTGTAAATGAATACAAGAAAAGTAAGTCATGCTCTTCTCATAACCCCACTTTGAAGAAAATCAAAGAAAACCTACCTTCACTCTTTCAGAGAGACTGAGATTACTTCCATCACAGACACCAGCTGTTGAGCTCTCACTCATCACTGTCTGTAGATAGATGGGCAGAAATACATTCATGAAACAGAATCAAAACCACAATCACAGCTCTTACTGATACATAGTTCACAGAATCACAGAATGGGTAAGGTTGGAAGGCACCACTGCAGGTCACCTTGTCCCTGCTCAAGAAGGGTCCCCTAGAACAATTACTCAGCTTTATAGATGTTGTACATAAAATTTTTTAAGAAGTGAATGGAATGCTCCTGAAAATAGAACAGGTACAGGTAATTCTCTGAAAACCTACACAGGACCAGACGGAATCAATTGGAACAACAGTGCAAGCAATCATGGCATGCCTAAAAAGCAGCATTTAGAATGGTAGCACTGTTTTCAATAGCAGTCACATTTTCCTTTCTCAGGGCAGGATTAAAGGTTACAGTGATCAACTTACTGCATTATGGCCTCTTCCTGCTACTACACAGCAATTTTTCTGCTGCATTCTACTATTGTTGTATTTGTTTCTTAAACTGCCAATGTGACAAAAAATGTGCAGGCATGTCTGAAGCTTTCTCTCCTTTAGAAACAAAAACATACATAAAGCTTTATGGAAGCTCCATCACATAAAGGATAATAGAAGTTGTACATTGTTTTATGTGGCAGAAAGATGTGGCTTAAGTAAGAGACACAAAGACAAATTACACCAAGGAGGAAACAATACTTACGAAAAAAATGGCAAAAATATTGTCATTATTACTACTCAATCAACTGACAGAATGTAATTGTTTTAAAAGCCTTGCTTGATTCTACCTCAAAGACATGTCCAAAGACAAGGAGGAAAGTGGCAGCTTGTGGTCTGATGCCTGACAGGCCCATCATTTGAAAGCACTTCAGTGTGTTGCTTTGTGTATTTCACAAAAAGACCTGCTACTTTTTTAATAAAAGTTTAATGAAGGGAAATTTTGAGTACAGACTAGATCACAGCTTAATTATTTGTTATTCAGGCAGGAAGGCAGAAGTTCTTAACAAGTTGACTCAGATTTCCATCTCACTCCCTTCCAGATGATGCCTGCTGTTTTCTTGTCCCTACACATTAAATCCCTAATCCCTTGTTTCAGAAGGTCAAAAATGCCCCTGGCCTGCCTATTGTTTACTTCAGGCAGTAACACAGCTTCAGTAACACAGAACTCTGTACTTCCTAAAATCTACAAGAAACAAAATAAATCTGTCCATGCTGGCATCCATACTTTCAGAATTTTTTTTTTTCCTTTTAGCCAACCTTTACCACAAACTGCAGTCTCCAGTGAAAGCATTACTTAACTCATTGCAGGGTGCCTTATTTGTTAGTCAGATTATGGCAGCTCTTCAGCAGGGCAAATGCCACTGCCAAACATGATCTCTGCAGGTGCCTCTCTAAGCATTTAACACTTAGGTAGTATTTTAAATATTTGCCTCAAATAGGATAAATAGCACTAGCCTCTAACATTTGGACAGTGTATCTCCCCATATTTTCTTCTGTTTAAATGTGGTGCTTGTCCACATGGACAAATGTTAACTCATTACCTCATTCTCATTTGGCATCCGTGGTGGAAATGAAATCCACATTTCTTTGCTTCTTTCACATGAGCCATCCTGTTTATTTCTCTTTAATTCAGAAGTAGAACAGTTTTCTCTTAAGGAGTCCACTTTACTTTCCTGAATTGTCTTTTCCTCTTTCTCTGCAAGCAGAATCACACCAGGTCATATAACATAATACATTATCCAAGAAAAAGTAAAGCATGTATTTAATACCTTTAAATTAAAATACATTAATCATAATAAATTAAAAATAAATTAAAATTAAATACACTTTAATTACATTTAATATTGACTTGCTAACACATTCACTTTTCCTCTCATGAAAGCTTCCATGTACAACATATACATGTATTTTATGTATAAAATAAAACTTTACCATAAAACTTTATCAGACTTTACCATAAAACTGAAGATGGAGTTTGAATCTCAATTGCACAGAGTCCCACCTATCCTTCAATACTGAAGAATTCATTATCACAAAAGCTTATGCAATATACAGAAAATATTATAAAATCAACCAAGAATTGAAATATCCCAAAAAGCAAGACAGTAAGGTTACACCTTGCTGGATCTAGAAGTTGACTACCATGTGCATGGAAGTATGGCTTTCCAAACCCATGCTGAATAGCTGGGATTTTTTTCCTTCAGCCTGGCAAAAAATAAAGTAATCACAGCCAAAATAAAAATGCAGTACTTTTTATTTTAAAAGTCCCATTATCAAATAAGGAGCAGTTATAGGTCAATCGATTAAAATGAACTTCACACCACATGTTCTTAATGAAAAATAAATGCTCACTTAATCAAGCTTTTTGGGTTTAGTTTGAAAAATTTGCTTTGCAACAATAAGAAACACTGCATTGCATTTCTAAAGCATAATTATGTATTATAAGCACTGAAGTAATTCTTGTGGAGAGTTTTAATTATGCCTTTGGGGTTACTATGTTGAGCCACACACAAAGAAGTATTAATCCCCTGGGACAGCTCTATGCTGCAGTTCCTGTGACATGCAGAAAGGGCTGGCAGGCTGGGCATAACCTAAAGTCCACACTTAAAACAGTCAGGGTTCATAGAAAGCAAACTGCACCACACCAGAGCAATCTAGCAAACAGGTTTTAATGCTCAGATAACAAATGGATCCTCTAAATAATTCCTAAATCCCAGGTCTCTGTAACATCTTGATTCTCCCTGCTTCTTTAGCAAGCACTTTCCTAAAACAGTATTTGGATACAGCAGTACATATGAGCCATCACTTTTTCCAACATACTCTCTTTTTAAGTCATGGAAATGAAGCTATATTAGACATGAAACTCTCTTTTAAATTCTTGACTGGTAAAATCATCACCCACTATTTGAAGATAATTTTACTGTCACCCTACTTTACAGGAAGAACTAGATGGCTAGCTCAAAAAACTTCAATGTTTTTTCACTTCAGTAGTAAAACAGGATGGGTTTCCTGTTTTATCCTAAGAACTTTCAAGTTTTACCTTAAAGACTGACAAGCTACAGAAGAATATTTATGTTTTTTAGGGCAAATGTGTATTGGCAAACCAGCAGAATACCAATAGGGCTTGAGGACTAAGCCAGTGTCCTCCCTGTGCACATCAGGGGCATTTCTGTATGAGAAGTGATAAAAAGATTCTGGAAGCCAAACACTTTTCTCACCAGACCAACAGAGAGACAAAAGAAATCATCACTGGAATGATCAGAAGCATAATTCACATAGAGCAACAGACTCTGAGTAAACATGATATTCCTGCACTAGCCTATGCTTTTCTTGTATATCACTGTGGCCATTCTTCTATAAATCAGATCATCCTTCTAAAAAATATAGATTCTGAATTGTCCAAAGAAAATAATATCACTTTTAGCATCAAAAGACCTATGGCACATAGTTGGGCAGTTACAATTAATGAGCACATATGAGCTGACAAACTTGCTTTTCTAGGTTATATATTTTCTGAACACCTGAGCTATTGTCACAGCTAAAAAGCTAGATAGATTAAATGAGCTGGTAAGAAATCAAGTGCATTCAGAGTATTTATGTGCCATTTACCAACCCCAGACAACAGCTTAGAAGCACTATCCCTTTTCCTAAGAGATCAGTCATAAACTTTTGACAGAAACCTTTTTCTGGTTAAGACCATTGCAAAGTTATTGGGTTAGAGAATATTAAACATTACACTTGATAAAACATTCAGCACTGCAATGTGATACTAGATTCATGACTGTTTGTGAAGAAAAATTCAGAAAAAAAATATCTAAGTGACCCAAAGCAGTTGTTAAATGCAATTCTGTGGACAGAACAGCAACTATGCAACCATGTGCATAATGAGGCCATGCCACATAAATTAAAAGGGGGCAGGTTATTTAAACATTATATTCCCAGCCTTGAGTACAGTCCCTCAGGACCAGTAAGAGCCAATTTCAGCTGCCCAAAGCAACTACTGACACCTGCAGTCTCCCAATGCATGCATCACACAACTGGCTCCTATGAGACAGTAACTGTAATGAACTTTAAAAATATTATTACAAAACCACACGTTAAGTTGTTTTGAAGTTAAAGAAACTACAATCTGAAGACAAGCATCTCAGGTGTATTTCTTTGATAGAGTTCTGAATTTCAACCATCTCTGTGCTTACTTTTCAAAGAGAAGGGGAAGAAGGAAGGATTGCATCCAAGCCAGCCAAGAGGATCACTCTGCCTTTCCCCTGACTAAGTGATAATTGACTCATTATTCACAGTCACAGCTCTCAACCTGCCAGGATCCTATTGTGGAACACTGGCCTTCACAATATGTGATAAAAATCAAAAATAAGGGATACAAACACTACAAAATGTAGGAGAGGAAGAAAGTTGAAATGATATAAAGATTCACGTATTTATTCTGCAGACAGATTCTGTCTCACTTTTTAGTCATTTCACTGTCAGTATCTTAAAAATAAAATAACAAGCCAACATAGGTCTCTAGAAAAGTACATCTGAGTCTCTCAAGAGCAGTATCCATCATAATTGTGTGTCACTAAGAGTGTGGTGCAGACTTCAGAAACATGTTTCAATCAAAAAGGATATCCAACTTGACAAATTTTTTTCTCTCCTGCTATCTATCCTCTATATTGCCTAAAATTCTCTTTGTCTTCCAATCTGGACGGGAATTTTTTGAGAATGTCTAGTGATCACCCGCATATTTCAAAGAATAATGGAGTCACTTATCACAAAACCAGAGAAAAGAGCTACCTGTATTATCAGGAAAAACTTACTGTCAGTGAAATCTCTCAGATGACATAGTAGCCCCAGAAGAATGATAAAATTCTCATGGTCTGAAGCATTTCAAAGCCAGACCAGACACAGCAATCAATAACATACCATAGAATACCTGGCTTGGGATAATACACTGGACAAAAAAATTCGAACTACCAGGTGCTTCCCATCTTTTTTCAATTGGATTAATTAATTTCAAAACAAGAAACTGGTTGAGATTTAAAAATAGTCCCGTTTAACTATAAAACAACAACAACAACCAAAAAAACCCATACAGCAAAGCTACTATTTTAAGTTCCAATTTACTTTTTTGTCCTCAAATCCTGGACTGAGGACCAGCAGAAGGCCTATGAATCCCTTAAATCTCTTCCAGGTTATGCTTTGATGGAAAAACTGGAATTCAAATATTACAGTGACTTTCTGCAGGACTCCTGAACAAAAAAAACCCAATTTTACTCACAGTATCGTAATAACTGCCTTGAACAGAGGTCACAAGTACAAATGTCATGTTCATTCACTTTCTCCATTCTTCAAACACACCATCAGCAAACATTTTAAAACAACAAAAAAGGCTGTGACTGAAATGTTTCCATAAAATACCACTTTCACATGTTCCCAAGGTGGAAACATACTCCAGAACTATCTGTATTTACCTATTTGCAACTATGTAAACCATTGTACAGTACTGTATTGATTTACCATAAATTACAAGCCATAAGAGGAAAACAAGAAATTTCAAGGCAGAAAGTCCAGTTTGCTGAGAAGATAATTTTTGAAACCTTCTATTAATTTTTGTTAACTCAATCAAGCTGCTGCTCCCACACTTTCTGCAGAAACCCTACCAAAATCTGCAGCTTCCCTATACTTGTATGTTGTCCTACTGGGAATAGAACATAGTGTTTTAAAGTTACTTAGCCTAAAAAAAGCCATTCTGATTTAAGTTAACCAGATACCTTTCTGTTTCCATGTGTTTTTATGTATGAATTGCTGTAAATCAATGCAGTTCATCTGACTTTTCAACACAAGAAGTCCAATTATCCCCTATAGTATGTACCTGCAGGATTTCAGTATTACAGGCCTATATGCCTGCCCAAAATTAGGAGCAATTCAGGTGTAATTCAGGCACCTAAACTTCATCATGTAGTCCTGATTTAACAGTCTAAAGGCTTAGCCTCCTGATGCCATCCAAAAAGGCAGTGGATGTTTTGCAGATATTGCACCATATCTGCCCACACTCAGCAGCTGAATTTTCTATGCCATTAATTTTCTGAATTCCTCTAAGGTCCATTCCAATCTTACTCCATCAAAAGCCACACTAATTTCGATGGCAGTGATCTCACAGCAGTAGTGAACAAGCAAAACTCCTTTACAGGAAATAGCTTGCCTAAAACATTTACCTTAGTGAGCAAATTAATATTTGTAACACAAAAATTCAGCTGGTGCGGCCTTTTCCCCTTTTCCCCTAACGTCTTTGATCTTATCCTTCTGATTAAATGACAAATCATCAGCACAAAGTATTGTTTAGCTTTTTTTTTCCTTTCAAAAAAGGTCAAGTTTTACTATAACCAGTAATATGGGCTTGATTTTTAAATTTATATTTACCCACTTCTTAAGGAAATTCCACTGTATTATCTCCTCAGCTAGGATAAATACATATTCCACAGACCAGGACAAGTAATTTCAGTGGGACTAATTCTAACCTAAAAGGGTAAACTCTTAAGTCCCAGTAGTTACTTCTGACTGCCATTTTTGCTTACTTACTGTAGTATGTTTAAAAATAAGTCAGGAAAGGACTTTTTTATGTGCTCCTTCAGGGGAAAGATGAATGACTGCTACTCCCAAGTATATTCCAGTATATTTCTCAGATATATTTCCAGTATA